GGAGGAGGAGGAGGAGGAGGAGTAGGAAGAGGAAGAGGAGGAGGAGCCTCCTGCGGGCGAGCGGCATGGCAGGCGCTGCCTGCGCGCTCCTTGCGGCCGCGGCCCTGCCTTCCAGGAGGCCCCGGCGGCGGCCGCCGCGCGCCACCAGCGGCCGCATGAAGCGGCGCAACGAGGCCAGGCGATCCTCCTGCCTCGCCGCCGCGCTGCTTCGCCGCGGCGTCGCCTCGCCGCCTCGCCGCCTCGCCGCCTCGCCGCCTCGCCGCCTCGCCGCCTCGCCGCCTCGCCGCCTCGCCGCCTCGACGCTTCGCCGCCTCGCCCGCGCCTCGCCCGCGCCTCGCCGCCTCGACGCTTCGCCGCGCCGCCTCGCCCGCGCCTCGCCGCCCCGCACCTGCGCGCCCGCGCCTGCGCGTTCCTCGCCTGCGACTGGCCTCCGCCCGCCTGCGCTCGCCTTCTGCAGAGGCCTGGGAAGCGGCACGTGCCCGCCAGACCCCCCGCACCTTTTGCAGTAGTGGCAGAAGCACTCGCTCTTGAGACTTTCGCACGCGTGCGCGCTGAGTAGAGGGGCTGAGGGTAGATAACATTCGGAGTAAAGCAAGTGACTGCGCGTCCCGCATTGCGCATCTGCGGAAGAAGAAGAATAGAGCATCGGGGCGGCGGGTTTTTTCCGAGGTCGGCCTGGCACCGGAGGTCCGTATCGCGCCCCGGGGGCCCGCAAGGGGGTACCCCGCGGAGGCGGCGGGGAGGCAGTGCGGAAGGTGGGGTCGAGAGCTACGGAGCTTTACATTTTATATCTTAGACGCTTGTCTCGGGGACCTTTCTGGGCCCACTTGGCTCGGGGGGTGAGTTCAGTGGGGGGCTTCGGGGTCACCGCACGGTTTGGGGGGATCAGGTCGTTCTCCGAGGATGTTTGGGGCGGCTGGGGCCTCGAGGGCCTCCGAAACGGTGCGGTGACGGACCGTGCGGTGAGGTCTCTTGGGCTTTCGAGGTCACCACATGGTGTGCTGCCGAACCGTTTCGAGACCTCGAACTCACTCATGGACCTATTCGACTCTAGCTCGGCTCTAGGCCGAATCGAGTCCGACTCTAGCTCGACTCAAATTCGGCTCAAGTTCGACTCAAGTCGACGCTCGTTCGACGCAGCATCGGCGCACGAGTGGAGTGGGTGACTCCAGGAAGGTCCCCAGAACGAGCATCTCAACGTATCGGTAAGGGCAATCTGGATTCAGTCAGGCCCTCCTGAGGGCATGCCCCATGAGGGATGGTATCTGAGAGTCCCCCCGGCATGGCTCTGGTACCTCCCTCGAGTATGACCACGTCTGGAGGGCTCCTGCAGATCGAATGATGATGCTGCTGATAATGATAATGAGGCTGATGATGATGGTGATGGTGGTGGTGATGCTGGTAATGATGATGCTGGTAATGCTGCTGATGATGCTGCTGCTGCTGCTGATGATGATTATGATGCTGATGATTGTGATGGCGATGGCGATGATGATGATGCTGATACTGATGACGACGATGATGATGATGCTGATGCTGATGACGATGATAATGATGCTGATGATGCTGATGGTGCTGATGCTGATTACGATGATGATGAGGAGGAGGAGGAAAAGCACGAGGAGGATGAGCAGGGGGATGATGATGCTACTGATGATGCTGCTGCTGGTTCTGCTGCTGCTGATGATGATGCTGCTGATGATGATGAAGAATAAGAAGAAGATCATGATGATGCTGCTGATGACGATGGTGATGATGCTGATGATGATGATGAGGATGATGATGATGCTGATTATGATGATGATGACGATGCTGCTGCTGCTGATAATGATGATGATTATGATGATGATGAGGATGAGGATGAGGATGGGGATACGGATACTGTTCAGGATGTGGATGAGGATGTTGCTGCTGCCGATATTGGCGACTTCTCACTTCTGCAGATTAATTCTTGCTGTTCCCCCCTCCGGTAACCATTGTATTTTTCAACTGAAGTCCCGCCCTTGGGGCTCGCACAATTTTTTGTTTTCTCATTATCAGGGAGAGCTTGGTGGCACCAAACTGCGTTGTTCGGCCCTCAAGTACAACAACGGCTCCCGCCTGTCCTGATACTTCCCAACAAATTATGCCAAGTTAGCGCTCTCGCGCGGGTGTTCCTCACAAGTTATGCAGGGATCGCGTGCTCGCGTAGGCCTTCCCCTCAATTTATTCAGACACCTCGCCCTCGACACTCAGGAATCACGCCTTCGCGTTGGCCTTTCTTGCGATTTACTTGGGAATCGCGCTATCGCTCGAGCTCTCCTCGCCATTCATGCAGTATTCACGCTTCAGCAACACGCCTTCTCGACCTGGCCGCCTGGGCCCGGCTTGCCGATCCGCCCGTTAGGGTCTACCCGCCCGATGGGCCCGTCTGGTTCTGCCACGTGTTCTCTGCTCCCAGCTCCCCTCCTGCTAATCCAGTGCTCCATCCTCCTTCCTCATCCTTCCATCCGTCCTCTCTTCCCCTGTTTCAGGGGCTGCACCAATTACACGCGGCAGGCAAGGAAGATGTACCCCCAGGGGGTGCGATCGAAGACGAAGAGGGCGGGTAGCGAGGGTTTGCGACATAAGTTGTGAATGAATGGCACGCGAGCAGGTCAGAGCGAGCAGTCTTAAACTGATTGTTGTTGTTGATGATGGTGATGATGGTGATGATGATGATGATGATGATGATGATGATGATGATGATGATGATGATGATGATGCTGCTGCTGCTGCTGCTGCTGCTGCTGAGGATGATTATGCTGCTGCTGCTGCGGAGGAGGAGGAGGAGGAGGAAGAGGAGGATCATAGTATACCTAGGATGCATCAGCGATGCTGTGATACCCCCCAGTCCCGAGTCCCCTCCTCATTAGCCCCTCCCTACAAGTATCGAAGACGCCTACGGCGAACCACCGCCGCCCTATGCCTCTTGGAATTGCCTGTGCGACCAAACATGTCGATGTCTTGCCAATCTGTTGGGCTATGTGTTTCTCCAGCCGTTGCGGAAACCCTTGGGAGAACACTTGGGGGAGGAATATGGAGAGGAGTGGTCATGATAGGTGCGCTCGCGCCATATTTTACATCCTACCCTTCCCACCCATCCCTTCCATTCTGCGTTTTTGTCATTATCCGCCGGCGCGTGTCATAGTGGACCTGGAACTCCCAAAACGACAACATTCGTGTTGTGCGCATGGGGCGCTGCGTGCATTGGTGGAGGAGGTGGCGGATGAGCAGGAGGATGAGTAGGAGGAAAAGGATGATGCTGATGATGCTGATGCTGATGCTGATGATGATGATGATGATGATGCTGATGATGATGATGATGATGATGGCGATGATGATGTTGATGATGCTGAGGATGACGATGATGAGGATGATGATGACGATGATGATGATGACGATGACGATGACGATGATGATGATGATGATGATGATGATGATGATGATGATGATGATGATGATGATGATGATGATGATGATGACGATGATGATGATGAGGAGGAGGTGGAGGAGGAGGTGGAGGAGGAGGAGGAGGAGGAGGAGGAGGAGGAGGAGGAGGATGGGACGGAGGAGGATGAAGGCGAAGGAACATGATGACGAACAGCGTCAGCAGGAGCTGGAGAAGTGGAACGAGCGGGAAGACTAGGAGAACCAGGGGAAGGCGGAGGGAGGAGATGGAGGGGCGGATGGGGGCGACAACGAAGAGGAAGGGGTTCGAACCGGTAGTGACCCCCCTTGGTTTTCCAGAGGGGGGGGGTCGGGGCGTTCGAACCGGTAGTGACCCCCCCACGGTTTTCCGAAGGGGGGGGGGGGGGTCGAGGGGAGGGGGGGTTTTGCCGGGGAAAGGGGGGGGGGCCCAGCAGGGGAGGGGGGAGTTCGGAGGGGGGGGGATCCCCAGTTCCGGAGGAAGAGGGGGGGGGAATTTTCCACAGCAAAGCGGCGGTGGATCACGCTCTCTCCCGTATCGTATAGTTCGTGGCTCTCTTGGGGGCTTGGCCTAGCCGTGCCCCTCAACGGAGTCATCAGTCTGTCCGATCCTCCTCCTCCTCCTCCTCCTCCTCCTCCTCCTCCTCCTCCTCCTCCTCCTCCCCCTTTCTTGTTCGCCTTCCTTGTTCTTCCCTTTCCTCCCTCCTGTGTGGGACGAAAACCTGACGTCGCGTGCACTTGACGTCCCAGCTGGTGATGTGCCGCGACACTGCTTTGGGGTCGCTGTTTCGGTCTGGGCGGTTCAGGGCTGCGAAATGTGCGAAATGCAGCATCGGTCTTCACCCGATTCGATTTGGATTGCTTCGCGATCTCTTTTCACTTGGCTCGTGATGCGAACTGTACGCGCGCGAGCTGCTAGGCCATCGCCGACATATGTCAACACACGTTCGGTGAGCCACACGGGGGATCTCATGCAGTTGGTTAGCTGTACATTTCCCATGAACAGGGTGGCATCTCCCACCGCCGCTCCCTTACGTATGTTAGGTTCGTGTCGTGTCGACCAGCGGCGACCCCAGCGCGGGCGTTTCAGGTTGAATGTCGCCCGTGGCCCAGAATCGGCAAATCGTTGAGCGATCTGGCGTTTCAGGAACGACCGACCGTTCAAGTTTGGACGATCCCCATGGTGTCAGGAACCAACGCCGGCGTCCACACGACGCGAACCTGCTGTACTGTCCTGGTGGACACGAGCTTTTGAGCGCAAGCAGCACGAGCGGTGAGCTGCACGAGCAGCACGACGCGGTGCGCAGCATGCGCAGCTTGAGCGCTGGGCACTCTCTGCGCAGGGCGCTCGGCCGATGCAGCGCGAGCACCCGTCGGCGCAGCGGACGGTGCTCATGCTGCATCCGCCAGCCCCCCCTGCGCTCGCCGAGGGCCTCGAGTTGGCCTCGAGTCGGCCTCGAGTCGGCCTCGAGGGCCCGCCCTCGAGTCGGCGTCCCCCAGGCATCCTCACACTGCGTGTGCGTCGCCCCCCCGCAGCGGCGACGCCCGCGCTCAGGGATCTGACGGTATGTGCTCGGCGGCGGGCGCTGCCTGGCCATACCGCTGGGGCAGCGATGGACTGCAAGATGGTCGCACCACATCTGATCTGGTTCGGGGACCACATGTGAACCCTACCCCTAACCCCCCACAGATTTCTGAGGGGAGGGTGGGGTTCACTTCGCTCGTGAACCCCACCCTCCCACTCGGAAATCGTGGGGGGTAGGGGTAGGGTTCACATGTGGCTCCCTACTGGTCGGGCGCACGCCTCCCAGGAGCACACACACACACTGCCCGCATGTCCTTCTGCGTCCCGTGGACCTGCCCCATGAATCCGAAAGCCTCCTCCTCCTCCTCATCCTCCCAGTGCAAATGTGAAGGCTCTTGGGATGATGGAAATAAGACGGACCAGTCTGATCGTCCACCTACGGTTTCACCACCGCCCCCACCGCTGGCGCCAGCACAGCAGTCCAAGGTGCAGTTGGAGAGGCGGGCCCCTTCGGAGCCGAAGTCATACGTGCCCACCCCTCCAGCGCCAGAAGTGCAGTCCAAGGCGCAGAACAAGATGCGGGCCCCGTCGGAACCGAACGAACAGGTTCCCCAAGAGGCTATCCCGAGCAGCGAGTTCAATCACAAGGAGAGAGTCCACCGTCTGGAGGAGGGCCTCTGGAACTTCCGCATTAAGAAGCTCAGGCAGCAATTGAAGGAAGCGAAAGACCAGATCAGGAAGTACGAAGACATCCAGCATAATACTCCTGGCACTGGCAGTGAGCCCACTAGCAGCAAGCGCAGCAAGAGGGCTAGGGCGCCATCGGAGTCTAGTGAATCTTCTTCCACAGTCGGGTGAAGTAGTCTTTCCCAGTTCAGGGCCGCAGTTATACATAACATGTTTTGCTTTCGCATTCTCAGTTTTCGGCTCTTTGCCAATGTTGCTGGCAGTACTCGGTAGAACTGGGTGGTATCATGCACAACAACAGTAGGGTATAATCCCTTCATACCTTATGCGCTGCACTTCCATGCCTTCTTCTGGCAGGCACCCAGTAGGACTGGGTAGTTCCCTGCAGTAGTTTATTGGGAAGTAACAGATGGCAGGGTTCGGCTACGGCAATGTTTTCGTAAGCCCTTGGAAGAATCCCATGAGTAATTTGATACACATCTCATTAAAACAATGTTTCGTTGCCCCTTGGTAGGTTATCACGAAAATCGTCCTTGACAACCCCTCCTAAGGATCCTTAGGGGGGGGGTCCAGACGCACATTTTGGCTAGTTAGCCTTGCAACTCTCTCCCTTCTCAAGCCTCTACACATCCTCCTCCGCAACCACCCATGTTAGACAGCCAGGCTAGCTTAGCGGCAAACATGTTTATGTGGAGGCGAAGTGGGTGTAAGTCTTTACCACTCGCAGGCGCTAGGATGCGCAGTAGTTATGGCCTTCTCGATCCATCCCAGAAACCTCAAGGGCAGGCACTAGAACGTGCATCTGCCAGAATTCGGGGTTTGCTTTCCATCTGAGGGAGTCGCAAGGTATTATAGTTTTGCTAGGATGCAGTCTCGAATCAGGCACACCAGCCAAACAGTGCAACCCTCAGCTCTCAGTGTCTTCTTTGCAACCGCCCGCAGGCGCTAGAACGCGCAGCGAATGGTCATCCCTTCCAATTCTCTCCAGGTCCCTCGCTCTGCAGGCACTAGGATGTGCGCTTGCAAGTCAATGCATGGGGCCAGCAATATCTCTGAGAGGGTACGCTAAAGAGGAGGTGTGCGCGTATATTCTTAATTCGTCCAGAGGGCAAGCGAAATCTTGCAGTTCCCCCTCATTTTCCCTCAACAGCCGAAGCCGAGGTTGGCACCCAAGGGAGGATGCGCAGGCACTCTCCCTCCTCTGTCTTGTCCTGCCATGGCACTGTCCATGCAAGAAAGTCCAAACCTGCAGGTCGGCGTCCAGGGGTCGGTTAGGTTGGGAATGGGAGGACAATGGGGGAAGGAAAGGCATGCATCAAATTCAGGGGCACAGTCGAAGAACTGGAGTAATGCCCCTTCAGCCCTAGCATGGGTAGTTTCCTCTCCTCCTTCCTCTCCTCTTAATCCTCGTCCTCCTTCTCTCCCCTCTGGGGTAGGCTTGTAGCGCCTCGCGTCTTTGGCAACGCCTCTTGGAGGGCCAGTTGCTGCTCTCGCGTCAGGCCGCTGCCTTAGTGCAGCCCCGAAGCGAATATCAAACAAATATCTTCCTCCTCCTCCTCCTCCTCCTCCTCCTCCTCCTCCTCGTCCTCCTCCTCCTCGTCCCACAGACTGCCAGTATGATCAGAAAGCAAGCTTCGGTCGACGCGCTGCCTCGTGTGGCGGCGACGCCCATGGAGCGTCCTGCTGCTGCGCGGGGGTGCTGCGTGCCCGGCGCTCTGCCGCCCCCGCCGAGGGCCCTCGGAGAGGGCCGCCCTGCGGGGCGCCTCTCCCGGCGTCCGCCCGTCCGGCGTCCCCCTGCGCTCGCCGAGGCCCGCCCCGCCTCCCGGGACCCCCCCCCCCGAGGGGGCTCGTTTCGATCCCTCCGATCCGATCCGAGTCGACTTCGATGGGCTCCGACTCCGCCTCGATGCGACTGCAGACTCCGATCTGGATTTTCGGACTTCTCAATGTGAGGCCTTACCGCTCTGCCGATTTCGGCCGATTCGACTCCTCCCGACTCGGCTGCCGATTTCCGCCGATCTGATTCGTTTCGATCGCCGATTCGGCATCGATTCGACTCTGGGCTCTCCTGCCCCCCCTGCTCTGCCAGAGACAGGTCCCCGAGATCGACTTCACCTCGCGCCGGGTCCCCGTGTACGGCACCCGCGGCATGGCTGGAGGGGGTCGGTTGCGCTCTTGCGAGATGGGGGGTCATGGCGCCAACTTCGCAGAGCGGATTTCATTCGGAAAGCTATGGGATGAACCCGGATTGTCCTGGAGAATTTCGTTCCGGATTGCGAAGGCCTTACGGCCGATGCCGCCGACCCTGTAGGCAGCGACGACGAAGACAATGGAGGTAGAGGAGTCCAAGATGCCCTCAGATGGCTCGAAGACGGCGCCAGATGCCGGTCGTCCGAAGACAGCTCAAGAGGCCTCCTCCAGGGTTCGGGAACGGCTCCAGAGAGTGCCAAGATAGGCAAAGAGCGCCCTCAAGTGGCCCGAGAGGGTTCCAAGACGGCGTCAAGCGAGGTCCAAAAGCGCCCGCAGAGGCTGTTAAGAGTGCCTCCCGAGGCTGCCAAGAGAGTCTAAAAATGGCGAAAGGTCTCCAAGGAGCCTTAAGGTAGGCTGAAAGGGCCCGCAGACGGCCCCGGATGGCCAACGGAGCCCCAGGACGCAGGAGGATCAGAGGCGGGGGGCTGCGTATCCGAGGGGGGACCCCCCTAGGGAGTTGCCCCGGGACCCCCCCCCTTCGGGGAAGGGATCAAAGGGCCCGCAGACGGCCCCGGAGGGCCAACGGAACCCCAGGACGCAGGGGGATGAGAGGCGGGGGGCTGCGTATCCGCCCCCCTTGGTAGTTGGGGGGGACCCCCCCCCCGGGAGTTGGGGGGGACTCCCCCCGGGAGTTGCCCCGGGACCCTCCCCGTCGGCGGGGAAGGGATCAAGGGAAGGGGCTTCCCTTCGACTGAAGGACGGCGTTTTTCAAATTTTGTGTGGACTTGTGTAGGGGGCCCTCGGAAAGCAGAAGAGGCGACGATGCTGTGGGGAAGACGGAACAGCCTCTCCCACACGCCGACAGGGTCGGCGGATTTCGATGTGAATTTCGTGCGGGTATTTCTTTGCCAGGAATGAAGGCTACAAACAAATCCACGTGAAATTCATTCCGTTTTTCGCTCGAGGTTTCGGGGTTTTGCATTGACAAGAATTCACGCGAGAATCCGCTGCAGCATGTCTGCAAGGTCGGTGCAGTGATGGGGGGGGGGCCAGGAACGGTGGGTGGGTCGCCGTCTCTCAGGCTGTGCGTGCCGCTGGCCAGGATTGTTTTTAGACAGCGCCCGACTACTTCAGCAGCAGCAGCAGCAGCAGCAGCAGCAGCAGCAGCAGCAGCAGCGCGCGGGTCTGGGTAGTCCGACCGGCGTGGCAGTGATGCTGTTCTTGCTCTCCGAGTGCAGCAGTGTAGCCGAAGGGGGGGGTGCTCCGAGCCAGGGGGCGGGCAGTGGCAGGACTTCGCCTGTCGTCTGGGGAGGAGCCTCCGCCGCCGGCGTCGCAAGCAAGAGCACGGCGGCCTGCACAGCAGGGCCAGATTAGAGCTCACTTCCCGCCAACTGCACATCTGTTGCCATTCCTGTGAGCTTCTGTGAGGTCTAGCGGAGTGCGGTCTTGCCCCAACCCGAACCGTGGGTGGAGCCAACTGTTGGAAGCGCCGTGGCTTGCGTGCGTACCCGGGTCCAGCGGGGTTCGGTCCTACCCAGGTCCCATTGGGCGTGGAACGAATCGATCCCCACGTGTAGCCTTCGCACGGGGACAGCATGCCCATTCAGCTGCTCATTCGTCTGGGATGGGCCCGCCGATGCTGCCACACGCTGCAGATGGGACACGTACGCCCCTGGGCAGTGGCCGCGACGTGGGCCAGTGACCCGCTTCTCATCGCGGGGAGGTGGCGCTCCTCCTCCTCCTCCTCCTCCTCCTCCTCCTCCTCCTCCTCGTCCTCGTCCTCCTCCTCCTCCTCCTCCTCCTCCTCCTCCTCCTCCTCCAGGATACACCGCCCTGGAAAGTTACGAAGTTCAGCGTCTGGTTGTGAGGAGCGCCAGATGAGGGACGGCGGAGCTCTCCTGGCCACGGCGAGCCTGGGCCACGGGCCTGCTCCCCGACCTGGGTGCGAGGAGCGGCCGAAGAGGCCAAGGTGGGGAAGTCACTCCGCAGGGTCTCCCGCGACTCCACGATCATGACGACCGCCGCGCACCTGGCAGCGCCCGGGGAGGAGAGTCCCCGTCGAGGTCTGCGTAGAACCTCACCCCGCCGGACGTCCCAGGAGCTCGCGAAAAGGGAGAGGAGGTCCCGTTTGGATTCGCTCGGTAGCAAATC